TGCCAACACGCCAAATTTGTTGTACCTTTCCCTCCCCGTCGCCGCCATTGGCCGGAGGGTATACCGCGGTAGTAAACAACACGTCCAAGATAAATATTAACGCTATAAATCTAAACGGCGAGCGCATGGAAAAGATATGACGCCATGGAGTTTTTGACGTGGATGAAAAACTCCTTCGTATATACCTACTACCACCTACCCCTACTTTATTACTTCTGAATTCGAGGTGCGCTCTGATTCACCGACCCCAGCTACGGTGGCTGCTCTCACATAAACATATATAGAAAACTGTGCATAAATATCGACAGGTTTCCAAAGACCGAGACGATTGACTGATGGCTCCCCTAACCCGTCAGGTTTTTACCCTCTCGTATGTCGCGAGGCCGAGAGGGAAGACCCTTTGACTTATGACTGGAAAACGTGCGTAATGGGAAAAATTGTTATATATGGATGATATTGGCTCAGTTTTTTTATTTTCTCATGGTTCATATATAAAATTCGCACTTTAGCTCGACAACGAGCGAACGGTAGGAAATACACGCGGAGAAAACCGTCGGTTGTTACAATATACATGATATGTTATCGTGTACATTATTTTTATTGTATTCCTTTGGAGGATTTTGAATTTTTAACTATAGTCTGTACTTTTTAACTGATTTTAAGTTATTTTTAGTTGTTATCGTTGATAAATTGTGTGACATACGGATTTTCAAAATAATATATATATTTTTTTATGCAACTTTTTATATTACTTATAGCAACTCAAAGACAACAGACCCTGCGGGCGATACGCTTTCGGGTATCCCTGGAATCAATCAATTGACCGCCGTGTACTGCTCTGTACCCGTACTCCATCAATATGTCAATTAAATTTAATTTGTACCGACTCGGCGCAGCCCATCCATCGATCAGAGTGACAACACACAGAACTGGCATTGCGTCACAATTTAAGAACTTATCTGTGATGCTACTCCGTTTTTTTTATTTTTTTATCATATGTCTATTACTCATTGATGTTTCGTGTGTGTACTCGAACAATAATAATGTAATAAAACACCGTATGTGACCAGCTCGGCTTGTACCTTTCTCATAATGTTTGTGAGTATCGTATGTGCTTGTTACCCGCACGTACAGACGGCGCCTGTTCCGCGGTTCATTAACGATTTCACAAGATTATTAAAACACAATTCCAAAGAAACCAGTTGGCTCGGTTGTTGTGGTATGCTTGACTATCCATCAATCTCTCTGGAAACTCGTTTTCGGTTTAAATGGGTAAAATATATACAGTTAATATTGTCACCTAACGTTGACGCGCCCACGTCTCGGTTGTTAAGTGGATTTTGCTTTTATTCCGCTCATGTTACGCCGTACGCGTATGTGTGTGCGTTTTATTTATTTGTCCGTTCTGTAGATTTCTCCAATGTAATAAATATTATTAGATCCGATCGCCACGACGCCCATTGATGTGCACTAAATGCACCACACACACCTTTCTTTCTAATTTGAACGATCGAGTCCAACGGCTCTCCATATAGTTGATTAGCACCAACACGTGACGTACCCAAATATAATAACCTCTGTCATTGAATACATCATAAAATGATAACCGCCCCGTCAATCAGCCGTCATTTTATTGTGTGTTGTTTAGATGCGTGTAGTTCTTATATTTCCACTGTTTTCAGTGGGCTGCTTAAGAAAACTACTGTACAGTTAACTGTTGGATGACTTCCAAAATGTGGAGAACGTTTTCATAGTCAAATCACTGAAAAGCACATCGATATTGAACCGATTAAGGTTAAGTGTCGCCTATGCGTCATTTTTTCAACGACTTGGTCACCTATCAAATATGTAATGCATATAAAACAGTTATGAGACACGATAATTAAACAATTATATAAAACAAATACGAATCGTTGAAAATGTTTTAAATCTACTCAAGTTTTATATGATATTAAATTTTTGTTATTGATTTTTATTTTTGAAATGATTCGGATGTATTCAAAACAATTAACGTGAATTAGCTACTTCTCAAAAAGTGTTATTCGGCGCAAAAAAAAAAAAATTGGTTAATAATACTAAATCGCGTAAGACGTTGGGGAAAGGTTTAATTTGTTTTTATTAATCTTTTGAAAATCGCTTAAAGGTTACTACACAAACTGTGCACGTTCACTTTGCCTGGCTGGGGATTTAAAATTCACAAACGCGTACTATTTTTGTCGGTTGTATTTAGTTTAAAAGCTTGATCGGTTGTGGATGAAGAAAGAAGGAGTATTTTTTGATAAAATTGCCATTGTACGACGTTTTTGGATCTTAATGGGTGCGAATAAAACCGTATTTTATGGGAAGACGACCAAGATCGGAATGGTTTTAAAAAGGGACGGTCACATTGAACGGCTGGGCAAAAGGCATTTTACAGCTTATTCAATAACTCTTCGTTTCTAATATGTTTGTCGTGGCCGCGTCCTTCTCCTTCTCCGAGTGTACTCCGTCTGTCCGAGATCTCGGAAAGTTTACGTTATCCAGTGCCGTTTCGCACAATGACATTATGCTGCTATTCACATTGGCCCTTCGTACCTATTGTCCCCCACACCTCCGTTAATGTTCCGGCAGCATGTCTGTAACCATCTCGTAAAAATGCCTTTGCCCAGAAAAGGCAATATCAATAAAACGTAATGGAGGAGAGACACGGAGTGTCGTAAGCACGTCGGTAGCGTTAATTCGGAAACGACGACGACGACCCGGCCCCGGTGGCACATTAAACTAATTCAGCTCCGATCGGTTTGCCGCGAGCGTGTAATAATGTAAAGGTCGTCTCGACTCGGAAACGGTCTTTCGGTAATTGCCTATGAAAACGGTCGCGTCTGATACAGAATCCAAATGGGCCAATTACACGCACACCCACACCTATACTTATTTAGTCCTACTGGGTTTTATTATCATTAACTAGTGACTGCATTCTTTTGTGTCTGTAAAATTCGTTTTCCGTCGGTTTTTTTTTTTTACTCTTATCAATTAAAGAACGGAAAATTATGACCTCAGTAAACAACTATAATAGTGTTGATGATATTTATATATACAGCACACGTATGAATCCCGGTCGTCAATGAGGCGAACGACTACTGTAGGTCGCGGGGGTCTAAGACACTGGAGGTTTTGTCGCCGATATTGATTATATCGCTTCCTGCCGCCGCCCCCGTGTTGTCGTTTCCTGTGTTGTTTATAGCGTTTGACTGACAACTGACAAATAACGTCACTCGGGGCTATATAAATGCGTGTTAAAGCGTGTGTACATATTCTTAAACTCGGAAAGCAGTTGCGCGCAATTCGAGTTTCCGTCAGTCACTGTTTACATTAGTGTGCATGTGAAAAGAAAAAAAAAAGAAATCAATGGGACGCTTTGTGCGAAAAGATGGCAATTGCTTTTGATATGAATTCTCCAGCAAAGCTTTTAAGAAAAAAAGTTTTTTGATTCATTTCATTTTTGGCGAATACGTTTTGATATTTTTCGTGATTTTTCATTCGGTTCCGTTAAATGTTGGCGATTATTCGACAGTGTGTGTCTATAGCTTTTGTGCACAGATTGCACGCGACACTATCGTTTTATAGTTACAATAAATAAGTGTAGTAATAATAAGGAGGTTTACCGCTTTTCGTTTTGGCGATAAGATTTCCAACACATAAAACCGAGAACAAATCCCTTTGCCCGGGCACAGTATAAGAACACTGTAGTAACAGATTAACATTTTTCCCTCTCCGGTTTAAGTTTTTATAGGTTTTCCCCTGTGCGTCACCACCGCGCCATCGTTCAGCGTGCATCTCCGTGTGTCGACAAAATAACTCTCGCGTTACCCCTCCTCCCGGCAAATCGACCATTTGGTATATAGTGAAATAGTGGCTCGAAGTGAGTCGACGGAGTGGGGGAGGGGAGAGAGGGCAATAATCGAAAAGCTACAGGCGGTGGAGGAGAACCGCGCGTTGCCCATAAATCTGATGCACGTCCCGTATAGCTGACTGTTTCTCCGCTTTCCCCGCACCTTATGAGCGGCCGGTTTGACATAAATCAGTCAAAAGTCTTGGTCGGGACGGGCGGTGCACATTTTATATGCGTGCGTATATATATATAGGTACACGAAAAGACCTTGAGTAGGCGGCGGCCGGGATTGTCCTGTGACTGCTATAACGGGTGAGATATGGTCCCCGAGGGTGGGCCGCTGCCATATAATTCACCCGGTTTTCTCTTTGTCACGCATCCCTCCACGATGTCGTTCTCCCATCTGCGAGATGGTCCATTGTCGACGGCAGTGGCGGCGGCGTCTCTCGTCGTCCAATTCACTGTCGCATTTTCCTCACTGAACGCTTTTCCATCAATTTTTTAATTTTATTTTCTACTCCTAACGCAGCCGAATACTTTTTCATTTTCTTTGTCCAGTTTAATTTAAAATAAATTTACGATAATAGAAAATGTATTTCCCAGTGTATAAATGTTACGAAATATTCTACAGAAATATTACACATCATGGTGGTGTGATATCTGAAAAAACCTTTTGCTAAATTTTTTCACAACGTTGTTGTTGTTGTTGTTAAGCTCGTGGCCGGCAAGAGTTGCTCTGCGAAAAATGTCGCGTCATCATTGAGTTGACATTTGACGCGCTTTGTCCAACTCCACGATAAGTGACATCTTGATAGACAGCGCAGCCCGGGGCTTCCGTCAACTTACTACTGTCTTCCTCTTCCTGCCTTACTATCGTATTAACAAGCTTTTGTTGTTAAAAGATAACACGTATAGTATATAATAATAATACATAGTGGGCAACGATGTCCGTGTTGACGTCGTGTGACGTGTGTATGAATTTAGATGTAATAATATCAGTCTTCATTTAGAATTGATATATATATATATATGTGTGTGTGTTTGTGTGTGTGTATGTCTTATGACATTTAATCGATAATTTAATTACGGTTACCAGTACTAATGTGTTTCTTTTGGTTTTTTGTTTCAGGTGAGTACCATTTTCCTGTACGTGTAACTGGGCGTAAATCGACCTGAAAAAGACGAATTGAGTTTTCAAAACTCACTACAATCCCCAAGACGGTCGTTCATTACGGCCGAGTGCCAAGACTTGTCAAAAGCTTTGTATCGTCCATCTGTACTTTCGTTATACGTGCCATTGTATGTGTGTCATATTGTGCATATTAGCCTCTTGTTGAAAACAAATTGAGGACGCTAACGTCGAAGCTTGGACTTTAAAGGACACATACCGTAGTATCCCGCGTTGTTAGGACAATTCATCAGTCTTTTGCGCCTCTTACCTTTAATGAAATATGCCAACGGGTTTATGTGCGCTCGTATGTATATGTATAAATCCCTTTTGACGTCAACTCTCGGTCCGTCCGGTATAATGACGAACTTTCGGTCGGCTAATTGATAGGGTCTCGTTTGTTATTTGCCACTGCTGTTACACTTCTGAGTAAATGTATGTGTGTGTGTTCACCTACCCGTTTTCTCTAGGTTTGTTGCCGGCATTTAGTCGCATTCCGTGGTCCTTAACATGACATATTATAAAACGCAATTAATTCAAAACTGTCGTCCACCGGACCGTCACCGCCGCCTTCAAATTGAACGACGTTGACAAAAGGCCCGGGTACCCCTAATTATGTTATACTTCCCCTCGTTTCAGTATCTTCACTCCGTTACCGTCTTGTCCCTAAACTCCATACACACACACACACAAGTAATGGAAAATGTTGTTGTCACGCGACCCGTCAAACTTTCTAGAATTAACTACTTCCGACCATGAAATCGATTAGTTCAAATGCGTTCTGACGGTGTTATATATGGTGAAAACCATCGCCGCCGCCGTCGCAGCCATGAATTCGTCTATGAGTTCGTGTGAGTTAAGTGACGATAGGGTAAGCTGAGGGACGGAAGGATGGGCAATAATATTAATAAATTTTAGGAGTACGCTGCCATTGCCGTCGATAAGAGTTGCGCTTAATTGAAGCGGGTGGTGTTCGGGGTACTACGGGCGGCAACGAGGAGAAGGCTAAAGAGTTATGGCTGAGTTTGTCATTCACGGCTGGCCAAACTGCTACGCTCTGAGGTGGAGGTAGTAGTGGTGGTGTCGAGCAATGGTCGTATATCTCAGCCGAAATGGCCTCGGGTACCATTAGAGCTTCTATATACCTTCGACGGGTGAAAACTTTTGGACTTGCACCCTCAGCTGTACACGTCGTGTGTTGCACATAAAACGTAAATGGTTATGGCCCGTGGTGGGGAATGGAGCGCGAGGGGAGCAAGGGGTACGACTATGTGCACGATATATAGACGGACATTATGTCAAGACGAACAGATGTATTAAATAAATATCCCACTCCACTTGCCTTGTGTCGATCGCCGTGAATCAGTCCTCCACGAAAATTGCGGGGGTCCCTCTTATGTTTTACTCTCCACTCTTTAGCAGCCATCATAGTGTGTTCTACGGATTGGTTAGCAGCATAAATCAGTTGCCAGATAAGAGTCGTTATGCGCGTAGTCTTTACTGTCTTGGAAGAGTAGAACGTCTATTGAGATGTAGTTCAGGAAAAATGTCGAAGGAAATTACAAGGCAAGCAAAGAAAGAAAGGAGGGTGAAGTAAACTATAGTTGCAAAAATACTACTAAGTATTATTGGTTGCAAAAATATATGGTCATTGCTTTTTTCGAATACCTCACATATCGACTGTCTTTTGTCTAACGAGTATTCTTTTTTGATAATATTTTTCAGAATATAAATTTATGTAGCGTACAGTAAGGTTAAAAATTCGTTATAAAATCAAATTTGTTATTCAATTTAAACATTTTTTGTCAACAAAATTTTTTAGAATCGTTTTTATAGTAATAATTGTTTCTAAATAGTCAAATAAAAATGACAATTTATTATACCATTATTGAATAATATTAAATTATTTTCCGGCATTTTATTCATTCTGTGTAGTCGAGTCACGATTATTCAGGCTTCGTTGTTTTTCTGGTTTAGGTAGATAGTATGTGTTAATTGTAAAAAAAATACATTTATAAAAAAAACAGGATGTCCAACCAGATTTTGACATCTTTAATAACTTTTGATCCAGTAAATATTTTGCATTACTCTTTTTTTTCAATTTAAAAATTTGTTTAATTTAATATATTTATAATGCATCCTCCGACCCCAATATATAACCATCACTGTATCTATTAAAATGCTTGTTACTCAATAAGAACTTATTTTAAAATCGATGTTGACCTATCAAAATATTTTGTAAGAAATTGCTGTATTAAAATTTAAACAAAATTGAAACATAAAAATTATTATTAGTATTTTTTTTTTGTTTTATTATTAAAAAAGAAATAGTAATAAATATATTTTTAACGTAGTCAAAGTTGTAAACAAATAACACTAAATGTCCATTGAATCAAAAGTTATATTAAAAATATTAAAACCGGAAGAGACACCTTAATATATAGGATGTTCAGTAAGTAAGTAAGTAAACTTGTTTCTATTGTTCTCATTGCTTGTGACAATTAACCTGTTTCCTTACTTACTGAACTCCCTGTATGTATATAAACACGTTTGCTTAAAAATATATCGACAACATTAGCACCGTTGATATTTAAATTCAAGCAATAACTCTACTGACTGACAATACCGGTTGTTGTTGTACATAAATCACTTAACGGCTCTTGACCATCGTACCACTTGAAGCCGTCGTTTGCCTGTTTATTGTGTTAGTATTTAGAATGTATGTGTGTTTTTTACTGTGTAAATTATGCATTGTATAACGAAACTTGGTGCGATAGTCGTCGCTGGCACCAAGCATTGAATAGTATTGTTTTTTTACCCGTGTCAATGCAATGCCCCAGTTAATCGTTGTAGTAACTGTCGTTGTACGAAAAGTTATGCAGATTGAAAAAGGCTCCTCGGGAACCTTTAGAGTTGCTATGTTGATTATTCATATTAATTTACTCGCCATTTTATATTTTTACTGTGTAGACCATATGGTTAATCCGTGGACACGGCTGAGTCATTGTAATGATCTTTGTATGCCGTCGTTATTTCTGTGGTTATCGTTCTCTTTTCGGACTAACATCTTCAATTCGATTTTAATAATCTCATTTACAATTATATTAAAAAGTACAAAAGGAAAGACGAGTAAAAAACTGGACTGAAGTGATTGTTTTTTCTTATAATACATGCCAGAGTCGATGCGTAAACAGGGTATTTTTTTCTCGAGTTGTTTTTTATTTTAACCTACGTTTTTTACGACTGACAAATAGCACCTCGCTGCTTCGGGGCTCGTGTGTTCCGTCATTCACGACACACTTGACTGACACTGATCCACGACGCGTGTTATTATAACGCTGCTGTCTGACGGACAGACTGACGCAGACAACAAGACACTGCCGAGTGAGGTTATACAGCTTATACATATATAGTAATAACATTTTATTATGTACTTAGTTACTGTAGTCGACCGACTAGCTTTAGGGAAAACCGATTACGTGCAACGTCGTTTTCGGTTACCTTTTGAAAAAAAAAAATTATGTTCGATAAAAAGCAAATCGAGAAGACGAAAAGTCCTATTTCGTAGTCGTTGTAGTATTCTATACCTTATTATGACCTCCTATGATATTGTGACCTTCGTTACATGCGCGTGAGGCTGAACAGTGCGAAGTGTTCTGTGAGTTGCTTTAGTCACGTGTAAGCCAATAATCTAACTACCGGTCGACGAGTATAAAAAACAAATTATAATGGGATGACGGCCTATATTAGTAAATACAACACGCCGTTGTTTAATGTATGATGTCTAGTATGTGTGCGGTCTTCTGAATATCGAAAAGAAACGGGTAGAATATATCACTTCGGCTTTTACACGGGCAGCTATATCGATTAGCCGATTGACCGGAAACAATAAGACGTATACGCATACTGCTTATAAAGTTAATGCATGTGATAATCTACGGCGGGATTTTTTTCATTAGACCGGAAAATACGTGCTCTCCTAGCAAAGCTTTTAAACAATACGTGGCTATGTTGCCTGTTAGGTTCTGCAAACAACTAGTAAAAAAAAAAAAACCTAGAGTTTAAACTCATTAATCGATTAAAGTATTAATTGTTCTATATAACGAACTTGATGTTCGTTATTTACACTAATAAATATTATCTGCAAACTCGACTTAAACTTGTCAAATGTTTGTCAGTGAATAAAACGGTAAATTGATTAATTTTTATGTGATACGTGAAGGATGTGTATAATCTTTAAAGTACGATTTTAAGATCACGAGAAATCTGTGACGTGTAATAATTTCACTTAAAATCAAAATTGTTTCAATCATATTAACTATAAGGAAAGTGAACGTTGTTCTTTCAATGTTGATACATTATACGTGTAGAATCTTTTATCGATATTAATTTCATATAAAATTCAATTATAATTTCAATATGATTATCGTATGAACAATAGTCTGTTATCTCATATTTGTTTTCGTCTTAAAAATTTGCATTGTGACGACCAATATAATTGAAAAGGCAAAAAGCGATTTCGTTCTGGATTTGACATGAAAGGCCGGACGGCAGCTCCGGTGGCGAACTGCGCCGTTGTCGTCGCTACAATCATTGTTAACCCTTTTCTTTCCCAATGCTTGCCACGACCGTCTCGTTGCTATTGGAATATCAATCAACCCCTCCCTGCTCAACCAAAAAGCCACGGATCACTGTTGCCACCACCACCACCGAGAGTTGGCCGTCAATCATATTTCACACTCGGCTCACCACTGGCGACCACACAAACAAAGCATCTCCACCAGATCTTAATTAATCTGGTGCGGACACAGTGACGGCAGCCGTCTTTTCTCTCGTCAAAACGTGGCCGGTACATGTCATTTGCAGCGCCAAACTAGTCGAAACGACGTCAGTCATAAGGAAAGTCATTGGAAAGATCACGTTCACCCTAAGCATTGAAACTTTTGATGGATTATTCGCGTCAAGTCCAAAATTTAGCTTCCTATTCAAGTCGATTAAACCACACCCCTTGAAAAAATAAAAGTAAACGCTGATAAAAATAAAAACGATTGTCCTGTTTATTATGCTAAAGGACAAAATAGTCGGGTTTGTTTTTTTATTTAGCAGCTCTACAAAATGTGCCTTGGGGAGAAACATAGTTGCTGAAAGAGTAATAATTTTCTCGACCACGCCACGCCAAATGAGGTGTTTAAATGCAATGCTTGTTGCGACGACGGGGAACGTTTGCACGCTGACGTCGTAGGCTTTCTTTGGAGCTCATGCATAACAAGTAGTGGTGCGGTTAGGTTATCTGAGGCTTTTACACAA